AACCCCGATAAGATAGTATAATATATACTCCAAGTATCGAAATGCATGCCATCGTGTCGGGATTCAATATTTCGACATTAATTAGTCATCATCAGGAATGATGATATATTAACCCTTTCTTTAGGTGGCGTTCGGGTCTTGTCTTTGGAGTGAATTCAATAAAAACAACAAAACACCGTACACTTTTAACAGGACTAGTAAAATATAATGTACAGTATGACAATGAACTCCAGATCAAGTTTATATATTGATAAATTAAATAGAACAAACTTATATATAATATAAAAATAGGCCTGTATACATATATGTATATTAACCCCTTTAGAAGTGGCGTTCGCGCTTTGTGTTTGGGGTGAATTCAATAAAAAATAAAGTACTGTTATATGTTTTTTTCTTGCTGTTCTCAACTCCTCTGTACTATGTTTACAGAATCTTTAATGAGTTAAATTCATGCAACTCAATAATTTAATAATCGTTATAATATTTATGTTTTTGTTGTATTTATATACTGCAGCCTAAGTTACAACATAAATTCTATATCATTAGGCCCTATATGATATTTGTGACTTTATGTTTTAACTAAGGCTGGATACATATTTAACATTTTTTTTTTGTTCTGTATGTATTTGACTTTTTACTATTTTTGATAATATGTAAAGTTCAAATAATGAGATTAATCAGTGGACCTTTCGGTAAAGTTAAAATGTAATTTATTCCGGAAAATTATCTTGAATATTAATAACACGTTTTTTTTTTTTTTGTTTTTTTTTTTTTTGTTACTCTATGAGCCATATTTGACTTTTATAGTATTTTCATGCGATGTAAATTTCAAATGCAACTTTTTGCCGGACAGTGAAATTATCGTGTAAAAAAAGTGTTAGCGTCCCTGGTGGGCTTGAACCACCAACCTTTCGGTTAACAGCCGAACGCGCTAACCGATTGCGCCACAGAGACTTTGACAATTATCCGTTTTCACCAGCGATTCCAAAACAATAATAAAATTAAGTCAAATTTATACATTATGAATAAAAGTTTTCATAACTAGAATCTATATAGGCCTATATGCATATATATATATATAATTCCGTTTTAGTCCTTAACTCCTCTGTGTTACGGGCCTATACAATTTAAAATAGGCCAATGTTATGGGATTAAAATTCATACAACTCAATATATGGAATATTTGTGTAATATTATTAATGATTTTGTTGTACTTATAGGCCTATATCATAGTTTACAAACTACGGTAATTTAGTCTATATGAATTACCTGACACCCTTTTTTAAATATATAATTGACTTTTTAATATATTTTTCATGCGATGTAAAGTTCAAATATAATTTCCTTTTCGACAAAATTTACATAAGGAATAAAAAAGCGTCCTGGGTGGCAGTGGCGTATCTAGCAGTATAAAATGGCGGGTAGGGGGGCTGGTGAGGGGTGGGGCGACCAAAATATGAGGGGGCGTGGAATTTATTTTCGGTGGCCACGCCCACTGAAAAATATTGCTTCTTAGATTCTCGAATACACGTTAACCGAGACAGATATGTTAAAGTATATCTCTCGAACGCAGTATTTAAGAAGTGAATTTAATAAACAAAACGAAACTTTTATTGTCGATTACGATTTCTTGCCTTAATTAAAATTACCGGATTGTTTTAACAATAGATAGTTTTATTTTAAATAGGCTTACATCAACAATTCTGCATGCACCAGGAAAATTACTATGCTAGATGTCAAGTCGGCCTCCTTGTTTCCTTTCGTACGTGTGTTTTAATATTTATTTTATTACACTTTTCATGTCTTGTTTAATTTCTTTTTGTACAATTTGACCATGATATCACTGTGTTTTGATGAACGTCAATAAAGGGAAGTTGAGAAAGCATGGAGCATAAGCCTAGCCTAAATTTTTTTGCTTGAAAGTTTTCGAATGGGGGAGCGACTGGGGGGCGACTTGTTTGGGGGGTGGGGCAAGCTTTTCGTGGGGGGTCCCCCCCCCCCGTTGGATACGCCACTGCTGGGTGAGAACCACAAATCTTTCAGTTAATAGCCGAACGCGCTAACCGATTGCACCACAGTAATGTTGTTTGAATTAAGTTAAGTTGAAAAAAATAAGTTAACAAGGCTTAAAGTACTAAATTTACAGTCTGACAATGAACTGTATAACTATAATTTTATAGATTGATAAAATTATGAATAAAATTTTTTATAACTTAAATAAAACAAACTTATATATAATCATAATTAGGCTTATATAAATATATGATATTAACCCCTTACCTTAAAAGTGGCGTTTGGGCCTTGTGTTTGGGGTGAATTCAATAAAAAAAATTGTGCTTTTTTTTGGTTGTCATCTCCTCTACACTATATTCACAGAATGTTTGATTGGTTAAATTCATGCAACTCAATAATGTAATATCGTTATTTATGTTTTTGTTGTATTTATATATTGCAGCCTAAGTTACAACATAAATCCTATAATAACATTATTATATTTGTGACTTTATATTTTAACTGAGGCTATATAAATTATCTAACACTTCCTTTGCTTTTATATGTATTTAACTTTTTACTATTTTTTATGCCATGTTAAAGTTCGAATAATGAGATTATTCAATGGAGCTTTTGGTAAAGTTAAAATGTAATTTCCTTCCGAAAAAATTATCCTAAATGTAAAAATTAAAAAAAAGGACGTCCCTGGGTGGGCTTGAACCACCAACCTTTCGGTTAACAGCCGAACGCGCTAACCGATTGCGCCACAGAGACCCGGATAGTAAGTAAGTGTCACCAGTGATTCCTTATACAGTACGGTATAATCACCTAATTGTTGTTTGAATAATGATAAGTCTACTGGTGGCTGTTTGAACTATAATATGTATTAGTTGTCAAGTTTAAAATCTGTTTACTTACATTCGCTTATCAAATTTGTATCTCTACCGAGATCTAGCCATTGGTTCCCACAACATTGTTTTGTTGTATATATATA